TCTGGAAATAGTAGATTTACAGGAAGTTATTATCATTCTAAAGAGTCAAGAGCAACGATTTGAGCTGCATAATAATGATACAGCTGAGAAGGCATTTGCCTCTTTTTCTGTGAATCCTAAAAGCCAGAACAAGGGAGGCTTTCAATCTAGTCAATCCAAGTCTCAGAAAAATTGGAATCCAAAAGGCAAATCATGGGAATCAAATTCCAAGCCTCAACACAAAAATTTTGCACAGAACTCATCATCAACAGTGGGTCAAGAAGGTTCAAAACCACAATGCAAAGTGTGTTCTAAATTTCATTTTGGTGAATGCAGATACAAGGGAAAGTCTAAGTGTTACAACTGTGACAAATTTGGACATTTGGCTAGAGAGTGTACTGCAAGCAAGAATGTGCAGAAAGCAAACTGTGCAAATCAAATGAAAGTGATTGGAAACCTATTATATGCCAACAGTGCTATTGCTGCCACAAATGTTACTGGAGAATGGTATATAGACAGTGGTTGTAACAACCACATGACTGGAAATGAGAGTTTGTTGACATATATCAGAACAAATGTGGTAGGCAAGGTACAAATGCCAAATGGTGAGCTTGTGAATGTTGCTGGAATGGGCACATTGGCAATTGATACTACCAAAGGCAGAAAGTATATCAAGGAAGTGATGTATCTTCCTAGACTAAAAGAGAATTCACTAAGTGTGGGCCAAATGGATAAACATGGTTACTATCTAGTATTTGGAGGAAAATTGTGCAGCATCTTTGAAGGTCTTTCACTAAAGTGTCTTGTAATCAAAGTACAGATGAAAAGGAATAGGTGTTATCTCTTGGCACTATTACCTAATGATCATATTGCACTAAAGGCAAGTATATCTAACTCTACTTGGACATGGCACAAAAGGTTGGGTCATCTACATCTAAAAGGACTAAGTCAACTCAAAGAAAAGGAGATGGTGTATGGACTGCCATTCATGCAAAAGGTTGATGGAGTCTGTGAAGGATGTCAGCTTGGAAAACAGCATCGAGAATGGTTTCCAAATAACTAAGCATGGAGAGCAAACAATTCTCTTGAGCTAGTTCATGTGGATTTGTGTGGACTTATGCAAAATGAATCCATTGCTGGCAACAAGTATGGTCTGGGTCTATTTTCTCATATACAAGTCTGAAGCACTGAATTGCTTTCGAAAGTTCAAGTCAATGGTAGAATTGCAAAGTGGCTTTAAGGTGAAGTGTTTGAGAAGTGACAGAGGAGAAGAGTTCACATCCAGTGAATTCAACAAGTTATGTGAAGCTGAATGGATTCAAAGACAACTCTTTATGGCCTATACTCCATAACAAAATGGAGTGGTGGAGAGAAAAAATAAGATTGTGGTTGAAATGGCAAAAGCAATGCTTCAAGATAAAGGACTGCCTTACTCCCTGTGGGCAGAAGCTGTGCACACAACTGTCTACTTACTAAATAGGTGTCCAAATAGAGCACTCGGAGATAAAACTCCATTTGAGGCATATAGTGGGAGAAAACCAGGACTTGCACATCTTAAAATATTTGGCTGTGTGTGCTATGTACACATACCAAGTGAAGTGAGATAGAAATTAGATGCAAAAAACACCAAGGGCATTTTTGTGGGGTATGCAATCTGTGAAAAAGGTTATAGAGTGTATGATCCTGCTACTAAGAAGATTCTACTCTCAAGAGATGTTGTGTTTGATGAGAATGCAGCTTGGGATTGGAAACAAATGTCTGATAAACAAGGAACTGTGATAAATCATGAAGAACAATCTGATCTGTCTAATGACTCATCACAAATGACACCTTCTAGAAACTATGATCACTTTCAATCACCAAGAACAAGTGATATAAACAGCATCATGAGAAATACTCAAGCTTTTGATCACACTCCATTAAAATGGAGAAATCTGGATGATGTTCTAGCTCAATGTAATCTTTGCATTATGGAACTAGAAAAAATTGATGAAGCTGCTAAAAATGAATCTTGGATAAAAGCAATAAAGGATGAACTGTCAATGATTGAGAAAAATGCAACATGAGAGCTGGTGGACAGACCACTTGATAAGCCTATAATTGGAGTTAAGTGGATATTCAAAACCAAGCTAAACCTTGATGGTTCAGTACAGAAGAACAAGGCAAGGCTAGTTGCCAAGGGTTATGCTCAGAAACCTGGTGTTGACTACAATAAGACCTTTGCACCAGTGGCTATACTTGATACAATCCACACACTAGTTGCATTGGCAGCACAGAAAAATTGGAAATTGTATAAGCTAGATGTCAAATTTGCCTTTCTAAATGGTGTTTTGGAAGAGGAGGTGTATGTAGATCAACCAAATGGTTTTGTGGTAAAGGGAAGTGAAGACAAGGTATACAAGCTTCATAAAACTCTGTATGGCCTAAAATAGGCACCAAGAGCTTGGTATGGTGAAATTGACACCTACTTTGCTCAGTGTGGATTTGCCAAAAGTCAAAGTGAGGCCACCTCTATACCAAAACTAATGGAGAAGCAGAAATTCTAATTGTGTCCATCTATGTAGATGACATTGTTTATACAGGGAATTGTCAGTCAATGTTAAAGGAGTTCAAGCAAGACATGATGATGAAATATGAAATGATAGACTTGGGGCTCTTGCATCATTTTTTAGGAATGAGAGTCATTCAAACTCACACTAGCATTTTTCTTCACCAAAAGAAATATGCAACATCTTTGTTGGGCAAATTTGGCCTACGTGAATGTAAACCTGTCTTTATACCTCTGGTTACAAATGAGAAGTTAAGCAAAGATGATGGAAGTGGTCCAGCAAATGAAGAGCAATATAGGAAGATAGTGGGAAGCTTGCTATACCTCATAGCTACAAGACCCAATATAATGTATGCATATAGTCTACTTGCTAGATTTATGCATTGTCCTACAAATAAGCATTATGGAACTGCTAAAAAAGTTCTCAGGTATATTCAGGGGACACTTGATTATGGGTTGGAGTATGTGAAAGGAAGGAATACAGTTTTAATTGGCTACTGTGACAGTGACTGGAGTGGCTCAGTGGATGACAGTAAGAGCACTTCAGGATATGCTTTCTCTTTTGGCAGTTGTGTTTTTGCTTGGGCATCAGTCAAACAAAACTATGTTGCTCTTTCTACTGCAAAGGCAGAATACATCAGTGCATCAGAAGCAACTGCACAGGAAATTTGGCTCAAATTTGTTTTGGAAGACTTTGGTGAATTTCAAGCTGAAGCTACACCACTACATTTTGACAATACAGCTACAATTGCTATCACAAAGAACCCTGTGTTTCACCAGAAAACTAAGCATATTGACCAAAGGTATCACTTCATCAAGGATGCCTTGCAAGAAGGAATCATTAACTTGATTTACAGTCCTACAAATGAGCAGCTGGCAGATATCTTCACAAAGTCATAGGCTAAAGATCGATTATGCTATCTCAGAGACAAGCTCGGTGTGAAATCAGCTCAAAACTTAAAGGGGAGTGTAGAATTGTAAGTAGTGAGCCTGATTTTTTTTAAGCCTAGAGTGTTAATTGTGTATTCACTTAGTCCTAGAGAATGACAAGTGTAAGGCTTCAAACGTGTAAGGCTAAAATAGCCAAGAGTGGTAATCCTAGATTTGAGACAAATGGATGGCTGAGATTCATTGATGCTTGTGTGAATCCAACTCAGAGCTAACGGTCATGAGTATATGTCGTGTGAGCTCATTCTTACAGAGTGTGAATATACAAAACCTTGCTCACATACTTTGTGAGCAAGCAGAGCAGTTATTCAAAGCATTCTCTATTTCTTCTTTTCTCTCTAACTAACCAATACACAAAAACCCAGCTTGAATAGCAAAACACTAACAAGTTTGAGTTGTCTGGCATGCTTTCTCTTTTTCTTCAGATTGCCTGTAATGGAAGGGTTCCTTATACTATATTTTCTTCTGTTTTTGAATTTGCTATATGGCTATTTCATTTATTCTCTGTTATCCTTTGTCCTTGAGGAGATATAAACCATATCAATTTGAACCTCAAGTTTTCGTTTATGGATTTGAAAATCATGTACGTACCAACACAGTTTTAACAAGTTCTCTTCATGGCGCGATTAATATCACCATTTGGAATTATCATTGTCTGCCAATTAGATAGATTAACACTCAAACAACTAGATTGATCATGACATGCATTTGTTTTGCTGGTTTTTCTTTTAGACATAACAGACTTTAGAAAAACACAAAGGAGAGAGAAATTTTGTAAAAGAAGCCAAAATGGACAAAATTGCCCTTATTTATTTTTGAATTTCCTAAGGAATCCTTTACATTTGCATGTCTTTGATTTGAAAGTTGAGAGGTTTTTCTGTCTTTTTTGAAAAAGCTTTGTGTTTTTCCAAAAGTGAAATTTTTTTTTTGGCTAAAACCTAAATTTACTTAACATAAATTACTTAGCCAAAAATTTGATACTTTAAAATAGGATATGGATCCTTTCCTTGGATTTGATCGACTCTTAAAATTCATATATAGCTTGGTGAATTCTCACCTATAGTGTTTCAATCATTGTTCATATTCCTTTTATTGTCCTGTATTTTTTGTTTGGATTACTGTTCCATTATATATATATATATATATATGTGTGTACATGTTTGGTAATAATAACTTGAAGCTCAAGAAACAGATTTTTCATCGTCATTTCACGAATAATTCACATTGCATCCACATAACATGACGAAAGTTAAAACACCAAGCATTCTAGGATGGCAAAGCAAAAGGTAACAAACGATTCAATACAAAAAAGAATGTATGGAGGGAGACTGTAAAAATCATCAATTATTTAAATATTATCTGTGTGTAAATCCGTGATAAATAGCAAGCAAGCAATTATGGTTTGCATATATAACAACAACATCCATACGAGAAAATATATCATCCCGAGAGTTATATGCTTGAGCTACAACAAGTGTATCTCTCTTTTGCCTTCACAAGGATCTTCTGATCACTCATAATCCTCCAAAAGGAAAGGAAAATGGTTTTGATACAACAACCCACCAAAGTGAGAGAAGTGTGACCGTATGACATCAGCACTCATAAGTTAACTCACTGTCTTTACAATAATTGAAGAAAATATAGCTACTGGATAATGTAACACATTATTCATCATAAACTCAGCTTTTTAATACCCACGAACATCTTAAGATAATCTCTCAATCCCTTGACACTATGAGGCACTGTGCGTACAATGCAGGCGGACACAATCTGCCTCACTAGCTTCAATTCTCGATCTGAACCCCCTATGGCGACAACTAGGTCATTATATTCCATTGAAAACTAAACACACATCAAACTTGTTAGTACCGTGACTGACCAAGCAACTAGCTAAGCTAAATCATCCACGTGTCATGCTTTGAGAGGTCATCACCTTATCCAAAGAAGCATTATTACAAGTCACAACTCTAAGCAAAGTAAGAGGAGTCCCACATCGGAAAACTACAAGAGATGGAGACTCCCCCTCGCCTATAAAAGAAGACTACTCTCCCCTGAGAAAGGGGAACCCTCTTCTGGATCCCTGGGTTGGGCTTTATCTTTAATCATGGGCTTCTCCTTTCTTATCTTTATATTTGGGTCCAACCCCATATACAAATGTAAACATATATTATTATAATGAGAACATACTTCTCTATGGACGTACCCCATTCATTAAAGGTGAACCACGTATATCTCGTCATCCATATATTTATTGTTTGCCCAATCGTCACACACATGCTGAAAGTCCTCACCTTCACACATCATTCACCATTCCACTTCTATCTAAGTTAACCCTCCCAAAAAGAAGGTCAACAAAACTCATTCTGGGAAGACAAGAATAAACAAATTTACGATACAACCATCAAAAGAAGACTAACCTTTGGGCGCATATAAATTTCAGAGTCTATCAGTTCTTCAAGTTCCTACATCCCAATTACATTGTTCAAAAATTAGAGAGACAAGAAAAGCAGCAGAAACCAATATGATCTAATCAATTTACACACCTTTACGGGGATATTCATGAGACGTTTCTTCCGATTATGATATATATCCTGCACACCACACCATACAAGAGATTAGATTTTCATTTCTATGGGAAAATAAAAAATAAAAGAGGCATAAAACTTAGATTTTGCATATACATCCCCAGCTAGCATTACAGACAGATCTTGAGTGGCGGAGAGCACCAGAAGGCTCATATTCCTCCTATAATCATCACCTCAAGTCTTGTACGACCAAAAAAAGAACAAAAATTCTTGTTTCACTAAACCCTAACAAGGTCTAAACCTTTCTAACATCAAACAAATAATCTAATCACCACGTTACATACGGAAATTAAAAGGTCCGGCACCAGAACTACCGTAAGAATGCTTATACGAGCATAAATGTTAAGAATTTAATCATTTAGATTTGTGTACAGAAAAATTGACAGATAGGGCTGCAGCAATAACAAAAAAGGAAAGAAATTTAAGCAATACACACCCTTGTGATCCTGTATTTTGTGCAAATCCCATTAACATGATGCCCTGTGCGGATGATGTCATATGGACCTTTCAGTATCCTTAGTGCCTGAAATCAAAATGTTCTGCACTCAAATCAGAAATTCAATACAAATAGCTTGACAAACTCAGTTTGATGAGAGAAGCAATACTTTGAGGTTTCAAGCAAAAGGAAATGCCACCATAAGTTTTTATAAGTAAAGAGTATGGAATCACATTGAAGAATCACAGATAATTGTTTATTTATTGGCATGTTGTTGCCTTGTAAGAGTATGGAATCACATTGAAGAATCACAGATAATTTGAACTTGTTGAATAACTCAAAGGTTACCGATAAGAACAATATATATCAAAAGATCAGACATTTGTACCTGATGAATAGGAACTCTGACTGACAGAAGTAAATGAAGATGTCTTATCTTGTAAACACCATTTCTGACCGAAGTCGGGGTTGTTGACAATGTGGTGAAATACTGATCCTAACCATAATTAAAAAGACAAGAGTTTAACATGTGCAACAAACGGTACATTGTTCTTAGAAAAGAAAACAAAAAGGACAACCGATTGATTGATCAACCTATAGAGTAGATTATACAAAGAAGAAATACACAAAATTCAATACTTTTGTAAACATTTATCATAACATACCAGATTCAGTGCACATGCAATGCCATACACTTTTAAAGCGGATTCGAACGCGGGCCAAGATCTTGCACATATGTTGCTGCAAAATAACATGCAAAGGCTCATAGGTGACAAGGCTTGGCTCTTTTAAACTTTTTGGATTAAAAAAAACTACAACAGAAATCATACTTTAAATATCTCAAGAATGGAACTTTAACTTATGATGGAAAATAGTTTAATTTCACTGTTGCGGTGACAAGGCAGCCTAAACAATTTGAAATAGTTGAAAGCCTTATATTTTCATTTCAGAGTTGGTTGTTTTACTTCAGCTGAGAGGCCCAAACACAGCAACAAAGAATTACAGCTATGTTAGAACTTCAGTGGACTAAATAGGGGTTTTTTATTAGGCCCTCATTTAAGGGCTAGTTTAGGGTTTCAAATTAGGGTAGAAATTTGGGATTGTTTCATGTAAATTTAACAAAAAATAAGAATAATAAGAACAAGAGAAGAAGGTACATACCATCGGATCTACCGAAGGGCCTACGGAAGGACAAGAATTTTTCTTCTGGTATCATAGTGATGTCTTCATCGTCTTTGTCAAATACAACGATATATTTGTCTCGCTGCTTTGCAGCGCCGTTGACGTTGCTATTATTCATCATGGGTGGCTCGTGTTGTGGTGGTTGGTTTTTTGTTTGAAACCCTAGACTAGACAGACACAAAGGCAAAGAGAAAAAAATAGACCGACGTCGTCGTTGATGGCCGGGTTGGGTCTGGCTGGGCGCAGAAAGAAAGAGAATGAGTTTCTGTCAACAAACACCGCCGTGAGAAACGAGTTTGTTGATGTGGGCGCAGAACAATTCTCTCTAAACTCCGCGTGGGGTTTAGGTTTAGGGGATATATTCTGGATTGGGATATTTGTATCCCTATTAAAGAGGAAAACAAATGTGGGCCCGTGGAGCTCCTCCAATTCAAAATATGTTTTTTCTTTTTCTTTCTTTGAAAACTGGAGTTTTCGTTTTCCACTGTCGAAAATAGAAGAAATCACCCTTACCCTCCTTTCGAATGAATGAATTGAAAATTATATAGAATTCTAAAATGACAGAATTCTGATTTCTATCATTTTAATTTCTGGCAATTAAAGATTTCAGTGTTTAGATTTATGTATGTTGAATTTTTCAAATGACATAATTTTATAAATGGCACTATAGTGCGTTTGGATGAGGGAAATAAACTTGAGATTTTGACAGAAGTTAGAATTTCTAAATTGACATGAACCAATTCCCGTGTTTGGATTTAAAAAAAAAACATAGAAATTTAGAAATTCTACATGGGGAAAAAAATGGAATTTTGAGGTCATAAATCTCAATCTTTAATTCTATCTTAAAAGTCGTCATTTTTAAAATTCCAAAATAGAATTAAAGGTTAAATTCTGTATTTAGAAATGACGACTATGGAAAGCAGCGCCGCTGAGGGTAGAAGGGAAAATGAGTTGATAGTGTGGGGGTTCAAGAAGGTTTGCTTCAAGCTGTCGAAGGAGTTGATAGTGCGGGGGTTCAGCTGATAGAACCAGTTCAAAGCAACGCCACTGAGGGTAGAAGGGAAAAAGAGACACATGCCTTCGTCGCTGAGACCCTTACATCCGAGGTGGATTGGAAAAAGTGGATATGGGTGAGGGGATCCTCCTTACCCGTGTAGAAGGCAATGCAGAGCGGCTTGTTTTTTTTAATTTCTTTGGTCAAAGTTTTGATTGTGTAGTATTTAATTTTGTCATACTAACATGTGAATGGTTTTGTATAATATTATGTGAATAAGTTGAAATCATCGAATTCCCCCACTTACAGTGATGAGTTATATAATTTGGCGTTCGGCCCGATTCGAGCTTAATTGTTCTCGGGTTGTAATGTTAACGGCATCAAATTTTTGGGGGCTGCACGAGATGACAAGCTGTGTACGCAAAACAACGGTGTCCATATCCCAGGTGGAGGTGAAAGTACGGATATTGATTTCTATGACAAACTCACAACTGTCATGCAATTTCTTTACAAAGATCGATACCAAGTGATCATGTTTAAGTGTCAATGGTTTGATACCAACCCAAATAGGCTCGGGCGTGTTAAAATTGACCATGACTTACTATCTGTGAACATTAATAGAACTTGGTATGATGACAACCCTTATATTTTGGCAAACATGGCAATACAAATTGTGTATCTAGATGACCCTAAAACCGGGAGCGGTTGGAAAGTTGTTCAAAAGATGGATCATAGGAACGTGTATGCTATACCAGAACTAGACCCAACTGACAACGACGTCGACAATGTGGCTGGCCAACGTTTAAAATCTTAAATGGAAAATGATGTGGAAACACTTCGAGATACAAATGTTATACAAGAACTGTTTCAAATACAAGGAGTGTCTTCAATCGAAATACTAAGTCAGTCAATTACAATTGACCTCGGTGATTTTCTGTGATACGATGTTGCAGTGGGCCCGAGCAACGACGATGATGTAGTTATAGAGGAGGAGGAGGAGGATTGGGAGACCGAAAGTGATGATAGCGACGATAACGAAAGTTATTATACTTCAGATGATGAATAATAAATTTTTTGTAATTATATTATGTTAGTGTATAGATTTTGTGTATATAAATGTTTGAATATATGTAGTTGTTATATCAAAACCTTATATATGTGGAGAAATGAAACATTATTAAAATAAATTTAGTTATAAAACATTGGTAAATCAATGTATCCAAGCCCTTTTAATAATAATTTTTTAAAATTATTTTGACAAAACACTTTAAAAGTATGAAAAATGAAAAACAATTTTGTTATAAAACATTGGTAAATAAATATATCCAAACCCTTTTGATACAAAGTTTGAAAATTATTGACACAAAACATTTTAAAAAAATGAAATGATACACAATTTGGCCTAAATATGTAAATGGTGCCAAATCCTTGCGCGACTAATCTCTTCTCGTCGCGCATCGTTTGCGCGACGCAGAACCCACTCGTTGCATAAAGTTAGAATTTTGCGCAACAACCAAACATCCATCGCGTGAAGACGTTTTGCGCGATGAAAATATACCTCTCGTCGAGCAAATATATATTATTTTACTGTAATATAATATATACACACTTATATATTTGAAATTGACAATCGAATTAGTTCACTGTATTCATATAGGGTCAATGAGTGTAGTTGTAAAAAAATCATCAAAATCGGAGTTCAAATAACCGTTAAATCATGACTTTTCATTTATAACCGTCGAAAAGTTTTGTCCCGTTACTTGATCTCTGAATGTTCTTTTTTTTTTTCCGATTTTTGGGGTCTATGATCTCGAAGTATAAACAAACAAGTTTGACGACTGGATTACTGAAACTAGTTTCGTAGAATGCGTATGCCATCAAAACATTGTATTCATCAACAATGAAGAGTTTATATATACTTTCGTTAAATATAACATAAGATTATGTGGTATCCCCTAGTGTAAATATCTTAAATTGAAGATCAAATTCAGACATTGTATTCATATAGGGTCAAGGAGTGTAGCTGTAAAAAATCATCAAAATCGGAGTTAAAATAACCGTTAAATTGTGAGTTTTCATTTATAACTGTCGAAAATTTTTGTCCCGTTACCTGATCTCTGAATGTTTGTTTTTTCTGATTTTCGGCGTATACGATCTCGAAGTATAAAAAAACAAGTTTGCCAGTTGGATCATTGAAACTAGTTTAGGGTTTAGGGATTGCATGACGAAGAGAGTGTGTCGGTCGCGCAACGTGTACAGTGTGGCATGCGCGACGACACTAACGATCTTTGTCGCGCAATGTGTACAGGACACATGCTTGCGCGACGAGATTCTTCTTCGTGCAATCTCATTCAGCCCTTTCACTGTCTTCCCCCCTCCCTTTTGAACACTTAGGCCAATTTTTTGGCGAATAACAAGCTTGCGCGACGAAACTAGTGTTCTTCGTCGCACAATGTGTACATGACACATGCTTGCGTGACGAGAGTATTACTTCTTCGTCGCGCAATCTCATTCAGCCCTTTCACTGTCTTCCCCCCTCCCTTTTGAACACTTAGGCCAATTTTTTGGCGAATAACAAGCTTGCGCGATGGAACTAGTGTTCTTCGTCGCACAATGTGTACAGGACACATGCTTGCGCGACGAGAGTATTACTTCTTCGTCGCGCAATCTCATTCAGCCCTTTCACTGTCTTCCCCCTCCCTTTTGAACACTTAGGCCAATTTTTTCGTGAGTAACAAGCTTGCGCGATGAAACTAGTGTTCTTCGTCACGCAAAGTGTACAGGACAAATGCTTGCGCGACAAGAGTATTACTTTTTCGTCGCGCAATCTCATTCAGCCCTTTCACTGTCTTCCCCCTCCCTTTTGAACACTTAGGCCAATTTTTTGGCGAATAACAAGCTTGCGTGACGAAGAAGAAAAAAATCTCATAAGTGATGATAAGGCAATGTTCTTTTCGCTAAGCACTAAAAAAAACAAGGTCGATCTAGAGAAATTAACGATGCGAACGTCCGTTAAACAGCCCACCCTAGATTAACAGATAAACAAAGTAGCATGTCCTATTAATAATAATATAGACAAACAATGCAACCGTAGGCAATGCTGGGGGTTGATGTTGTTATTCTTTCTTGCTGCTCTGCAGTTCCTTGAGAAAATCCTCATTGTCAACCAGCAGTTACTAAAGCACTTGAAAGGATCCCCAGAGCCTCCCTATACTTGATCGCCGACGCGGTGCACGGCGTGAAGGAGGCACTATAACTAATGTTGCTTAGCTCAGCTGATAACTACTCTATTGATGGGAGGTCTAGACTCTATAGTGTTCCTCATATCAATCAAATGCTGCAATTTTAAGATGACGAAGATTGAGTTTCTCAAGTTAAGTTTGTGAGTAGTAATATGTATTTGTATTTTGCAAGTTTTTCAAGTTAAGTTGCTTATAGAAAGTGGTGATTTGGATCATGGGGTCATCTCATGTCCTCCTCAATCCAATTCCAAATTCCAATTCAAGTTTAACCGAACTCTCCATATCATTCTAAGAGAGCCAAGAGGTGCTGGACCAAACCCAACTATTATTAGTATTGCTGTCTGTCTTGGAAAATTAGGCCCTACATCCTATCCTATCTATTTGGTATTTCAATGAAGGCCTTGGTTGATTGAAGAAGTATTTTCATAATTTGTACTGGAACTGTTGGCAATTATTTGGCACTCACGTCTTGTCCTCATTTGCAGACAGACAGAAATGCACCATTAGTGAATATTTAAATATTTTACCGATTTCATAAATGGCTTAATAAATTCTAATGAATTATTTTGTTGAATTTGTTTTTTTTTTTTTAAATATTATATAATAATTAAGACATAATATGTTTAAAGAGTATAGCCGCACGGCTATAATGTTTAAATATTCAAATATGCATAAGGAAATATGACAAAGGGAACTTAAAAAGATATGCAACCTCTTGGTATCACTCCTCATACACATTCAACACAAACAAGGCATAAATATTCCCTCAACCCTAAGCGCACACATAGGAACAAAGCTAGAAATACATACCGTGTCTAATTGATTCATTATCTCAAGGCTCAACTTTGCTACAGAGAAATCTATATTTTTAATGTTTATTATAGCCGCACGGCTATACACTATAAATATAAGATTTTAAAGGTATAGCAGCGCGGCTATACGATACTTGGTTAAACAAACTGAACTCTATATGTTTTATTTATGTGCAGCGGCACATCTGCTCGCTGAATGGTTAAACGGCAATGGGTTGCCATTGAGCTTCAATCCTGATTTCCTCCTTCATTTTTCTTATAAAGTCTTTGAATTTTTTATTGAGT